TATAGCATTGCAGTACTGCTAGCTACAAACACCTGTGCAGACAAATGTTGCCATTATTCCTGGGAAAAATATTGATACACTGACAGAGCCCTCTCTCTGTTTGTATGTGAAAAGGACTATCTATCTCTCTCTTTCTCTTTCTCTTTCTCTCTCTCTGAGAGCGCGCGACGGGCGCGCGAGTCGAGCGCGCGAAGACGCGCGCGAGCGAGCGAGCGGCGACGAGCCGAAGGCCGCGCGCGCGCGCGCCGCCCAGCAGAGCCGCAGAGGGGGGGGTGGCGAGAGTCGAGCGAAGGGCTGGGCGCGCCGCGCGCGAGTAGCGCGGCGAGCGTGACTCGAGCGGCGCGACGAGCGAGGCGCAGGCGGCGCGCGCGCGCGCCGCGCCGCGAGAAACCCGGCCGGCCGCGCGAGGGCGACACACGCCAGACGCGCGGCGGCGGCGCGCGCGGGGCGCGCGCGCCGCGAGCGAGCGCGCGCGAGCGCGCGGGAGCTGGGCGGGCGGGCCGACGCGCGCGCGCGCGCGCGAGCAGCGACGCGGGCGCGACGACGCGCAGCGGCGCGCTCGGCGTCGCGCGAGCGCGCGCGCGCTGCGCGCGCTGCGCGCGGGGGGGGGCGCTGCGCGGGCGGGCGGGCGGGGCGCGAGACGCGAGCTGCTCGAGGCGCACGAAGAGAGCGTAGCCGGCGCGCGCGCGCGCGGTGCGGTGTTGGAGGGCAGCCGGGAGAGGGCGCGCGCAGCAGAGCGAGCGCGCGCTGCCGACGCGAGGAACGCGCGAGGGCGAGCGAGAGAGCAGCGAGAGCGCGAGAGAGAGAGCGCGAGAGAGACGACGCGGGGGGGGGGAGAGCGAGAAGGGCGCGAGGGCGGGACGCGCGGGAGCGCGAGACGAGAGAGGGGCGGGCGCGAGGAGCGAGGGGCGGGACTGACGGAGGGGAGAGAAGAGAGCGCGCGCAGAGCGCGAGCCGAGAGAGAGCTAGCGCGAGAGGGATGGGCGAGAGAGAAGAGCAGAGCGAGGGATGAGAAATAAAAAGGAAAAAACAAACCGCAAAGAGAGAAAGCGCAGAGAGAGGAGCTAGCTGGAGAGTAGCGGCGAAGATAGCGAGGATGCGTAGAGAGAGAAGGGAGAGAGGGAGAAGAGGAGAGAGGAGCGAGAGAGAGACAGGGAAAGGAAAAGAAAAAAAAGAAGGAAAAAGAGAGAGCGCGATGTAGCGAGCGCGAGATCGCGAGGCGCGCCGTCGCGCGCGCTCGCGGGCGCGCTCGCGCGCGCGTCGGGCTCGCGCGCGCGCGCTCGCGACCTGCGCGCGAGCGGGAGCGCGAGCGCGCGTTGGACGCGGCGCCCGCGCCCACCGACGCGCGCGGTCTCGGGCGCGCGTCCTCGCGGTGCTCGCGCGCGCGCTCCGCGCGCGCTGCGCGCTGATCGCCGCGCGAGAGAGATCGATATAGATAGAGGAGAGATTAGCTGCGCGGCGCCGCGCGCGCGCGCGCGCGCTGATGCTCTGCCGCTCGCGCGCGCGCCGCGCGCGCTCGCGCGCGGCGCGGATGCGCGGGCGCGGGCGCGGGGCGCGCGCGGCGAGCGCGCGTCGTCGCTCGTGCTCGCTGCTCTCTCTCGCTCTCGCGGCGCGCGCTCGATGCGGGGCGTCGCGCGCGTGCGCGCGGGCGCTCGCGTGCGCTCTCCGCTCTGGGGGCGCGCAGCGCGCGCGCGCGCCGCGCGCGCGCGCGTGGAGCGCGCGCGCGCGCGGTCGCGCCCCCGCCGCGCCGCGGGGCGCGGCGCGCGCAGCGCGGGGGCGCGCGCGCGAGCGCGCGCGCGCCGCGCGCGCGAGAGAGAGGAGAGAGTGAGAGATGAGAGAGAAGAGGAGAGAGAGAGAGAGCGGGCAGCGGGGGCGCGAGTACAGCACGGCCCGCGCGCGCGCGCGCGCCGGAGCCGCAGCGCGAGCGAGCGCGCGCGCGGCGCGCGCGACGAGCGGGCGCGAAAGAGGGAAGAGGCGCGGGAGAGGGCGAGGGGAGGGACGAGCGCGACCGAGAGAGACGAGGAAGCGGGCAGAGCGCGCGCAGCGCGCGCGCGAGCGAGAGAGAGGGGGGCGAGGCTGAGACGGGGCGAGAGGGTGGAGAACGAGAGGGTGAGGGAGCCTAGAGCGAGAAGCTGGGCGCGAGCGAGCGCGAGCGCGCGCGGGCGCGCGAGCGCGCATTGAGAGCGGAGACGACAGACGAGAGCGAGGGTAGGAGAACGAGGAGCGAGTAGAGAGAGGGAGCTAGAGAAGTAGAGAGAGCAGAGAGAGATGCGAGAGCGGGGAGGAGAGAGACAGAGAGAGAGAGAGAGAGAGAGAGGAGGAGAGACGACGAGAGACAAAGAGAGAAGAGAGAAGAGATGAGAGAGCGGCAGAGAGCAGAAAAAATAGAAGAGTTAGAGGTGGGGAGGGGGAGGAGCCGAGAGAGCGCAGGAGTTGAGCAGCGATAGAGAGAGGAGAGACATAGAGAGCGATAAGCGGCGAGGGAGAGCGACGAGAGAGCGTAGAGAGAAGAGAGCGAGAGAAGGGAAGAGGGAGAGGGGAGAGGGAGAGAGGAGAGAGAGAGTGAGCAGAGAGAAGCGGAGAGAGAGAGGAGGGCGCCCCCGAGCGAGGAGCGATTAACGCGCGACGCGTGCGAGAGGAGAGCGGCTAGCGCCAAAAAAATGGCACAGGCGAAAAATCCGTATATAGATGATCAAGTAGTCGAAGCGTAGGATGTAGGTCGTAGTAGAATTAGATCTTAGCTACTTTCTCTTAAATCTTATCTCGCTAGTTTCATCTAGTATCTTTGTATATGGTATCTGTTCTGGAGGTCTATATATCTCTTACATTCCTCACACCAAAAAAACCCACACACAACACACAACACAAAAAACACAACCACACACCACACACAACTTACAAATAGATATATATATATATAATATAATATATTATATAATATAGATATAGAGATATATGTGATTGTGGGATATATTATATATATCTTTCTATGTCCAGCTCTCTTCTCTTCTCTCTCTATCCTATCTATCTCTCTATCTCTATCTCTTGATGCTGTCGCGTGCGGGTGCGCAGGGCGCGGGCGCGCTCGCTCAGCTCGCTCTGGGGGAGCTCAGCTCTTGTGCTCTCGGGAGCTATCTGTGCGTTCTGACGCGATCGCTAGCTAGTATGAGCTCGCGATGAGCTATCGCCGCCGATGAGCGTAGAAGAGCGATGCTAGTCGTAGAGGAGAGCGAGCGAGAGGCGAGAGAGTAGAGAGATCATATATCTATGAATGAGAGAGAGCGAGGAGCTAGAGACGAGGAGAGAGAGAGCTGTCGCTATATTCTCTCTGCTACGCTAGAGAGAGAGAGAGAGATATGCGACGCTCCGCACGACACAAACTACTCCGAGTATGGAGGGCGGAGACGACCGAGCTAGGAGATGAGCTCATCGAGACTTCGATAGAGCGATAGAGAGGTCGTAGAGCGTATAGCGGAGAGGGAGAGAGCGCTGACGCGAGAGCTCTGAGAGAGGTGGACGGGAGAGTGAGACGGTATCGGTGCAGAGCCTCTCGTCAGCTCCGCATCGCGCGAGATCTCTCTCGCTCTCTCGGTCGCTCGATCTCTACCTAAGAGGTACGCCAACCACTTGCCCGCACCCCCCCCCGCCCCTCGTCTCTGGTTGTGTGTTGTGGGGGCGGCGGGTGGGTTGTTGTGTTGGGGTGGGGATAGAGATATAGAGATTAGAGATAGCGTGCTCGTGCTCGCGTGCATCGCTCTCTCTTCTCTCTCTTCTCTCATCTCTCTTACTCCTCTCTATCTCTCTTGCTCTCCTCCGTATCTTTATCTATTCTCGTTATACTCTACTCCGCTCGTCTCATCTATCTCTCTCTCTACGCGTGTCCTCTCTATGGTTTCTCTATTTCTCTATCGTATCTTTCCTCTCTCTCTCTCTCTGCTCTCTCTCTCTGTGCTCTCTCTCGCTATATATCTCTCTCTCTCTCTTTCTTCTTCTGTCTCTCGCTCATACTCTCTATCTCCTCTTTTCTCTAGCTCTCTCGCTCTTCTATCTATTAATCTATCGTTATCGATCTAGATCTCTAGTCTTCTCTTCTCTCTCTCTCGCTCTCTCTCCTCTCTCTCTCTCTCTCTCTACGGCTATCTCTATCTCTGATCACCCTCCTCTTCCTTCCTTTTGTGTTTCTTTCTACTCTCTCGTCTCTCTATCGAGGAGATACGTATCTATTATAGCGATATCTTCTCTATCTCTTATATTTCGCTGTTTGATAGCTGCGCTACTCTCTCGCCTCTAGTATTTCTCTTTCTCTTTTCGGTGCTCTGCTGTTCCTCTCACTTAGATATCGCTCTCCTCTCTCTCTCTCTCTCTCTCTCTCTCTCTCTCTCTCTCTCTCTCTCTCTCTCTCTCTCTCTCGCCAACACTTTCCCTCCCCCCTCCCTCTCTCTCTCTCTCTCTCTCTCTCTCTCTCTCTCTCTCTCTCTCTCTCTCTCTCTCTCTCTCTCTCTCTCTCTGTCTCTGTCTCTGTCTCTGTCTCTCACACACACACACACACACACACACACACACACACACACACACACACACACATATATATATATATATATATATATATATATATATATATATATATATATATATGTGTGTGTGTGTGTGTGTGTGTGTGTATGTGTGTGTGTGTGTGTGTGTGTGTGTGTGTGTGTGTGTGTGTGTGTGTGTGTGTGTGTGTGTGTTTATGTGTATATGTATATATATATATATATATATATATATATATATATATATATATATATATATATATATATATATCATAGGATTGTATCTTTCGCAGACATGTGACGTGATGACCTGCCTCTGCTCCTTCGACGAGTCCTATTTCCTGGTCCCTTTTCTTGGCGTTTGTTCTCCAGTCTGACATTGAGCTACTTCATGCAAACACAGGATTTAACTACAATGTACAGGGAGAAGATTTAATTAGGGTGCACAAAAAGAGGATTTAGCAAGTG